TAGACTGCATTAGTTCGGAATTGGGAAGAAAAATCACCCTGGGTAGAGAGAGTACTCGGTACGTGGTTGACAAATACGTCGCATGAAAACGGAGAATGTAGCTAACCGATCAAGGAGGCGGCTTAGCTACCTAGCACCTAGTAGAAACCTGATTCAATGGGAGAGTGCCTCAGGCCCCGGAACTTGGGGGAACCGAGTGCATGGGTATGACACCATCATCCAGCCATTTCATCACTGCTCCAAGAGATAATAGGTAATCTTTCTGTCCGCGCTAGAAAGTCTTCTTCACGTGGCGGGGACCCCATGCCGGGATCACGATCCTTCAAGGCGTGGCAATGGGGCCCAGGAGAGGGGAATCACACCAGTGAGGAGGAGTTAAAAAACGCTAGGTATTATTGTGTCTGTCTGGATGTAGTCATATGTATGCCCTCCTTTTCTACTTCTCTTCTTGTCGCCTTCTCCCGGGTCTCCAACTAATGCATCCCGTGTTTAGAAGTCTGACTTTGGGGCTGCGCAGCCCGGGTTCCTACACCACAGCTGCAAAGTAAGATGGTTGACGGTAGAGTATGTCTTGTGTTGTCCATGCAGCGACGGTGCCAAGAAGTCGAAGCAGGCTTGACACTAATTATAACCATAGGCATAGGGCATCGTGCTCACTGGGCGGCACATCCCGGTCCTGTGCGGCACAAAAAGGTAGCGGTGGTCAGCAACAACGTGGCCTTCCTGTGGGGAAACAAGGAGGGACAAGAACGACTGGCCTAGGTGTAGAGGAGGGTTGCATCGGAATTCAAAGGTAATCAAAGTATGATTAAAAGGTCTCAGAACCCACCTAATTGACTTGACTGCATAGGGTCAGTATTACGGCCGAGTTCCTCCTAGCCTTTGATGCTTCATTCCTCAATAAAGACCTGCCTCGTAATTTGGCGATACATCGTTTGCTAATATCATGGATTGGATTGATTGATTAGCTTACTCCGTAGGTGGTAAGAATAATGGTGAAGACGGGTACGTATTATTGACTCGGAGGCCACGGCCGAGCTGGACGTCAGTGGGTGTTACCGGACTAACCACATTCTGTCCTTAGAACTCCACGTACTAAGCGGTAATCTCCTTTCCCCCCTTCCACCGATTGATCGAGGCCCTGTCATGGGCGGGCAGTCATGGCACTGTCATGTGCCTTTCTGTTGACTACACTCAACCAGGCAATAGATTGGTTGCTCACGGCCCTAGTCCCAGGCTAAACCGGCCCGGAACGTTGTGGTGTAATCCAAACGCCGCGGGCAACACCTCACTTTGTTCACTAACACCAACACTGACAGTTTAACCCCCTTTCGCGAGTCATTCCTTTTGCAGAAGTCCTAGCGAGAACATTGACTGGCCAATCGTTGCAGACACTGAAACCGTGAGACTGTAAGACAACTGGAACTCCCTTGCACACGTGCAACCTGCAAGACATTGTTGGACTAACTTACAACACTACTCAGGGCATCTCGATATATTTCCGAGTCGAGTCTGGTGAACGTGACCGTGAACCACATGTGAATGGAATGATTGGATGCATGGATGCATGGAGAGTGGACGATGACGAGGTTCTCAACTATTGCCTAATCAGGAACACTTCTCGAGCACCGTGGACCGTGGACCGTGGACCTGCAGTGGTGGACTTGAGTTGCTCAGTTAGTTACTAGCTACTAAGTTAGTTAGTAGCTACAGCCTGGAGCCTACTGGGGCCTGGAGAATAAGGAAAATAGGAAAATGGATCGGAGGCTCGGCAGGGCAGTGGGCTCCGTCAGCGGCGGGGGTCCTCGTACCGCCGGAGCCAGAAACTGCCCCGGTATCCGCCATGCCCGTGGCCTTGTTGTCTGTTAACTTTCTTAGCATCGCCATGTTGTTCAGACGACAGAGTCCATGGAAGTCCACAAAAAGATGGGACTGTCTAAGGAGGCTCCTGGAGGATTTACAGTTTGGAGCCCTTAGCCGACTGCAAAATGATCCTGTTCCATTGTTGACCTACTTCTTCAGGTACGGCTGGATCCGCAGGAGGGAAGGATTTTGAAACTGTATATACAGTACATATGTACCTGCCTCGAAGGATCTAAACGGGGATTCAATGTCAAAAGGAACTCTTCTTTGGAAATATGGTTATTGGCGTAGGGTGAGAACAAAAACGTGGTGATCAGCAGCAATCTCGGGGGCTGATCCTGCAGGTGCCTGACCTTCAGGTGGCATGACAAGCGAACGGACGAACGACCTGGGCCTTTTCTCTCTTCAGTTCTGACCTCATGTCACCCTTCGAGGGCAATCTGCAATCCTGAAACACACCCTTGGGGGTCATCGACTCTGGTTCCGGGAGATCACAAAAAGGCTTATCGGACAGACCAGACAGATCAAGCGAGTCTGCCTTGCCTCAGGCTGTCTCTTGTCTTCTTAGGTAATCCTAACCCCCCCACCCCCTTGGGTTCCTGTTTGTTTGTTTGTTTGCTTCTCTGTCTACTCCGTACAGTCTGTCTCTCTGTCGTCATAGAGCGTCAGACCCCATGTATTCTTTTTACTCTTCACTCTTACCGTACATCTCTTCACTTAGCTTCATGCAAGAGAAACACGGATTACTCGGGCTATCTTGTCGGCTAATTAGCAAAGGTGGCTTTCTTCATTTCGCGGCAATACAGTTCTCGAGGTTTTCCAACTTGGATGGCGGCGGAAAAAGAGGCTCAGAATCCCAGAGCCCCCCCCCCCCCCCCCTAAGAGACGGTCCGATCGAGAGTGAGCCATCGTCGATCTCTATCCCCGTTGATTTCTTGTCTTCATTCACATTTCTTCTTCGTCTATCTACAGTGGGAGGGGTTCTAAGGCGTGAGCATGCCGAGTCTTGCTGCTGCCCTTTGGGAATGTGGATCCCCACCGCCAATGCCGCACTGTCTGGACATGAGGACGGAATTGACCCACTAGGCATGCTATTGCGAAGTGAGTTCGACACACCCACTAAGGACCAGGGCTGCAGCTAACACTCTAAGTCACTCACACTAGTGACTAGGTCGATGGAACACCAAGCGTATGCTGAGGGTAGCTAAGCGCTACTGCCGAATAGCAATTTCGGGACGGAGAGGCAGTCCCTAAACTCCCCCTACCTTCAGCTAACTTACGTGCTAGTCAAGTTCAGACCTCACTGTCAGGCCCCCTCGACTGCATGGTAGTCTAATAAGCGACAGTTGGTACCAACCTCCTCAAGTCCTAGCAATTTAGACTACCCCACTGCCAAGCCATCCAGTTGAGTTCGTCCAGTTTGGCCTGCATGATTGACCGTCCCGCGGGTCCGCAACTTTGGCGAGCCTCTTACGTCTGAACGAAACCCATACTACACAGTAGTGAGGGGTCACTCGACTGATTGTTGGATAAGAATAGCTAGGTAGCCATGTCAACGTTATACGAGCAGACAAATCATGCTTTGGCATTGCGATGGTAAGAAAGGTCGACTACGAACCAGGCACGGTAATAGTCGGTCACGGCCGAGCCCGTCTGTGATCGACACCTCGAATGTCCAGGCGCTCGCTCAGACACATCTTCTTCCACTTTCAGGCCGCTCTGCACGGTAGACCTACCCCATTTTGACGGGCGGTCTTCCCCGCTGGCGGTTGTATCTACTCCAGTGACAAGCTTAACACCATTAAGCTGGTATACTTCGTGAGTAAATCATCTTCTCGTATAGGGCTCGGGCTCCTTAGGGGCCGGCCGTACATCGTCTTTTCATGGCTTTCTGTGTCCTCAGTATAGTATATCTCGCCAAATCACGTTGTGCTTTGTCTACCACTAATTCTGTAGGAACGATCTATCGAGGCTTACTATGAGCCCCAATTCGGAAAATGTTCCTGCCCCTGTCAGCAACCCTCTTCCAACACGAGGGGGATATTTTGTGATAACATTGCCCGGTTGCCGGGATAAGACGATCGGCTGGACGAGCTTGGTTCTTGTTCGTGTCATTGGTCAGGGAATGAGATTCCATACTGCTTCGAACATTCTACAAGCAAATCTGCATATTACACGGGGCACTGCTCGGCACCAAGTACGTCCTCCTGCAGCTGGTAGCTTATGAGCTACTGCACCGCTCGCATCTACTATGTACTATACATATTAATTGCCATAGGGCCACGAGGCCTACTATTTTCGCCCCCATGGCAGGGGTGCCATGCGCTTCAGCACGGCCACATGGCCTTGACTCTTGCTGCGGTCTCTGTTTCTGACAACAATCGGTATCGGTCCGGTCCCACCCTGGTCGTTTGTTCCTAACCGGCTGGTGCTCTGACATCAACGGCGTGTTCAACGATCGGTTTGCACTAAGCATGTCGTCTGGTTCTCCATTAAGCTGTCTCCAAGCCACGCTGCTAGCAGGCAGGGGCCCCGTCGGATGAGGAACCATCCCGCCTCTGCCATACTTCTGCACCGCCATGATCGCAATTATTGCTTGCTACCAGGGACAATTCCGCCCCTCTGATGGTTACATTGGTCCTAGCATGATTGTCCCGGTCAAAAGCCTTAAAGTCGAACTACTACCAATTATAGAATAAGCTGGAGGCTGGCGAGCTGATTCGCCGACCCTCCCTCTCGTACCTTGCCGTCCGCATGCTGCCGAGAGTATGAAGAGTTTCATCCTGCCCGCGCGTGTACAGGGCACTTCTCGGATTCTGGGGGCGATCCTACAATGCTTCTGAACTCTGAGATGTGGATACCTCAGCCATGACGGCTGCGGAGCTCTGCCACCACCAGGCTTTCTCGTTCTCATCTACACAGCTCAGAAATATTCGCGAGGTAACATGCCACACGGATTAGATCGAATTTTTACACGAGATTGTCAGCGAAGTTGCTCCTAGCGCCAGTAAGGCCAACCATGCCACTGTCTAATATGAGACATCTTCTAACTCAGGCATAGTGATATCAGAAATGTTTCCAATCAGAAATGCATATAAGGCAAGCGACAATAAGACGATAGCCACCAACGCGGACTTCCGCAAACCAACGTGTTGGTGCAGCATTTGCCGCTCAACTGTGCGGACCTGCTACGAGCGCAATTTCAGGCACGACTATACCAAGAGAGGTATTGTTCTAGACGTTTCGCACATCCTGCTTAAGCGGATGAGGTGCTTGAATTGTGATAGTGCCTCTCACCTGCATGATTCCTGCGATCTGCTGACCAGCCACAGGTGGCTCCCACTGTTGGGTCCAGGAACGCGCCTTCACCCTGGCTGCAGAGGTATATCTGAGACAGGTACCATGATCAAACAATGGGCGGATGAAACCTAGTGTTTCTGACAGACTTAGTCCTGAAACTCCTCCCATTTGATCATCCTATCCCTCAAGTCGAGCTCCTCACCATCCACCACAAACCTGCCGTCCCCACGATGGTGCACCATCCTCATCTGCCTCTTCCCGCCACCAACAGCACCGCTGGGCTCCTCTAGTTGCTGATTGCTCTGCCCATAGTTCAGGTCGAGGTCTCTGTTCACCCATGCGCGGACAACCCGCAGTATCCACAAGTTGTACGTTGCCACCAACGCTCGATCATGAACCACACATTGGATGTTGGCCATGATATCCTTCCCACCAACCAGTGGCGCACGGGCAGTCCTTTCCAGCTCCATGTAACTCTGCCCCTTTTCTTCTCCATCTTCAAGTTCTGGATCGGTCTCTGGCGGTAACGGCGATTCCGGTGGCTCCACAGGGATCATTTCGAATGCATCCCACTTATCCACCGTTTCGCCACTGCAATTGCCAATATCAACCACTTGCTCCAGCAGCTCCGCAGCCGGTACTGCAAGCACGCATTGGCCGGTTCTTTTCAGGTTGTCAAAGCTTTTGTCCCACGGTCCAATACATGCGCCGACCAGTGTTGGTTCCTCGTGTTGGATCATCATGTGAAAGCCCATTGTCATGATATTGTGCGTCCGATCGGCTAGAGACCCGGTGGTAACGAGTACCACAGGCCCAGGCTCGAGGAGGCGATTGACTTTATGCGTGGGATAGGAGAGGAATCGGCTCCGATCATTGAAATGATCCTTTGCCTGCTCCTGCTCCTGTGCCTGATCCTGAATCTCCCGGCTCTTCTGATGCCATCGAGGCCTCTTGCTGGAACGGCGTGGGCTCAGACCTAGTGGTCTGGTTGGCTCCCTTTTCCCTGCACTTCGTTTGTCGCCTGATACTCGCTTGAGAGGCATTTAGGCCAAGGTGTTGGAAAGGGTGTAGATGTAACTTTTGTAAGCTTGTAGACCTAGACTTCAGTCGAGAATTGCTGCCTAGGAGAGCATATGTGCATGACAAGGAGGGGTGACCTGACTTGAATCGCGTGCAGGAAATGGGAGTTGTGGACGCGTCACTGCGAAAGAACAAAGAACGGCATTGGAGTGACGTCTTCCCCGCATACTCGCCGGGGTCCCGTGACCTCCATTTCTTTTCGCCATAATTCTACGAGTGTGCATACAAAGAGAATATTTCTGTCTTGTACAGACAGCTGCTAAATGTATAGACAAGCACGACAAAGTGTGGTTTTGAAGTGCTCGAAGGGAACACTGTATCCCCTTCCCTTCAGCATAATCTTCCATGTATACAGAAAGATGTTGAACTGTAAACAATGACCAATTGCTCAATGACGATCTTCAGCGTGACATTCCTTAGGACTGTGTATATCCCAGAGTCCAGGTCACTCTTTGTGTATCAGATCGCCTGAGTACTGTACATCTCTAGCTGAAGAAAGATTCATTCGGTTGTATGTTATTCATCCTTCCGCGCGATTCTCCAACATTGTCCCCTATCCCATCTACCTCAACATATGCAACGCAGATACCAGTCCAGCTCAGTACTTCATTCTCTTCCTGCATGTGGTATATGTCCTCCTTGTTCTCTCTCGGTCGAAGTCAAAAATGAAGAGACCCTGAAGTGACCCGCACATGAACCCATTGTATATATATACATATAGCCTAAGACGTCCATCACAAGCACAATTGAGCCAACTGAACTAGCTTCGTAATGAAATGCTGTACTCCAACTTGACTCCAAGCATCTTTCCCTTGCAAAATACTATAATATTGGAATGTATACCCTCAGAAGGGGCTGTATCACCGGCAAGGAGGGAGGTCCGAAGTGTCGAGTATAGTCTTCACTCTCTTTCTCTCTATCTTTCTTTGCGTTTGCGTATGTGTAGTATTATCTTTCCAAGGTTTCTCAGTGGGTACCCCCTCTAGATCCACACGATTGGCAAAGCTACCAGTGTATCAGGGAAGAGAGTCAGGGCTGCGAACCTCGCGGAGCAAGAAACTACTATAACAGGTCTTTCCGCCATCTGGCAATGGAGTTCACATCCATACTGTGTATCATGTACAACCAGGACCTACCTTAGACAGTTTGCCCCCGCCTTCCAGCATATTGGTACCAGAAACCTCACCGAAAAAATATATGGAGTCTATACCTTCGACTTTTCTGTGTATGTAGTACAGTACATGCGGGTGCTGGGAACGACCCTAATAAGAGGTGTGTTTAGTTCGAGCCTATGCTTTTACTGCAGTGGTTATGGGCTGGTCCACAGCCCTAGAAGACTATTCGAGACTTTATTTTGAGGTAGACAGTACGATCCTTTGCAACCAGCTTACCACCCCGGGGGCTCTTTTCCACTATCACGATATACATACCTTGCTTAGATTTGATCAGGACCTTGTCGAATGGTTATATGTACAGTACATACATACCCGCAAGGGAAAGCCCGGCACGGCACGGCACGGCACGGCGAAGGCGGACTTGGGAAGAACAGGAACAGGAACCCCGTATTCAATGTATACTAGGTACTGGTACTCAAATTCCCCTCTCAAGGTCCAAGATGTCGAGGGGGTAGGCAAGCTGAATGCGGGAGATATCCTCCTGTAGGAAGATATATATACAGATTTCGAGGCAAGCGCGCGAGGCAGCGACACCTCTCACGAAGAAACCATCTTCGGCCGTGGAATGTACTGTAGTGTACCACCCCGCGATGCAATGATGATCCGCGAGAGAGACAAAGGGTGAGATCGGGGAGGAGTTAGACTACGGCAACCCCATTTCGGATCTACAACAAAAAACAAAAATATGCATGCCGCTGATTTCTGCTTGGAGGGGGGAGTGGGTGCGAGATGTATGGGATACGGTTGGTGAATCCTGATTGTACATATAGTCGTCTAGTTTCTGGCGCTTGTTCTTGTTTTAAGCTCCGCAGTAGTAAGGCTGCTTTTGTGTACGGGTGGATTCAAGGTGTGTTCGTCGATGAGCTCCGGTTATGCATGCACATGATGGTGGGAGGTGGTGGATTTGGGGTAGGTACTGTTGACCTATTGACGCTGGGTCGAGTAATGGTCCGCGGTCAGTGGACGCCTTGGGCGAGTCTTGCTTGAACGCAGATGGAGTCGGGTTGTCAGCAGTATCGGCTAGAGTGGTGAGTGGGACTGAGAGATCTGACTGGCGCTCACGGTGCTGTACATAACCCATCCGTCAAACTGACCAAAGACTACGTCCCTACACTTATCAACGAGTGCATGATATCCATTCATCCTCACATTAGTTACAGAGACCTAGCCTGTCCTGTCCTGTCCTGTCCTGTCCTGTCCGTTTCTTAACGGAACAGGAGCTACCGTTAATTATATCAACGATAACGCATTGCAAAAGCATCGCAGCAGTTTTCAAGCATCACAAAAACAGAAGCTCGATGTCTCAAGAGATGAAAAGAGAAAGCGGGAACTCAAGATCCGCCCAGAAAGAGAGATGACTAACGTAAGATACAATCCATGCCAAACGCCCTGGTTAAAAGCAAGAACACAACAAGTAACCTTGATGGGCATGTCGGATGTGTCAACCCAAGGGAGCGTTGAACTTGGGTGACTGAGCCCATTCCCTTCCAAGAATACATCACAGCGGTGATTCGGGAGTAGAGGCCTTTGTCTCGACAATGAGACAACGCTCTGAGTGCTGAAGCGCACTCGGATCGATGCTGTGTCACCACCGACGACGTAGCTAATGGGATCATCGTGGTCGAGGCTTGATGAAGATGTGGGATTCTGTCCGATAACATACTCTGATATTGAGATCGCAAGGTCGCTAAATAGCCCGGCAAGAAAGGGGAATATCGAGAAGAAGAGGGTCTTTCATGGAAGAGGCAATATCAAAGGCGAGAGGAGTGTCGGGTTGCAGGAGGAAAGAAAGAACGTGACTCGGATGGCGCAAGTACGCGACGACTTGCCAGGATGATTGGAGACTCTCAGCGACGGTCGGGGTTGGTTACCTGAGAACTAATTGAGCCTCAAATCAAATATGATGGGAAGGGTAAAACCTACCTGCAGAATGCGACGGGAGAAGTCTTGATCGTCGTCGATACTGCCGTTGCTTTGCCGTTTTTGAGCCATGAAATCACCATCGAATCGGGAGTCACTGCCCTGTGCCATGGGCTGTCCGTAACCGTCCACGCCAACACTGCGACGATATTGCGCTTCCACCGACTTACGGTTCTTGAAACGCCAGAGAAAGAACCCAGCACCGATGAGCGCACAGAGGCCGACCACTCCGATGACCACTCCTGCCGCAATCGCAGCAGTGTTGGCACTTGAGCTTTTTGACTTCTCGGTCGGGGTAGCGCTTGCATCGGCGGCGTGGGTGGCAGGAGCTTCGGTAACATAGACTGTCTGCCCGCCGCTCGTGACGGCATGAACTGTGGGTGTCTGTGTTGTCGAAGTCGACGTCCCTTCGGTGCTCTTGCTGGAAGTACTGCTCGAGGAAGAGTAGTTATCCACGTCATCCTCAATACCTGTTAGATAGACCGAGTATGTGTTTGCACCGCCACCTAGACAATCGGTCAGCATTGGATACACATAGAAACTTCACCTAGGTGAAGGCAACATACACATGACCGAGGGCCAGCCAGCACACGACAGATTGCATTCGTCATCCGATACTTTGTCCGAAGACGCCGGTAGTTCATTTCCGCAGAGACAGTCTTGTTTGTTGTGGAGCGCAAAGACGGCGTAGTTGTCCTTCAAGCATAACTTCTGGCAGTATCCGTTACTTTGGTATGTGTACGATCCTTGATCTTCCAAGGGCGTTGAGCTCGAGTAGCATCCGTTGTAAACTTCGTCATAGGCAGCGGTCGTGGGAACATGGGCAGCCAGAAAGAGGACCGAGGCCACAAGAGCCGACCGCACGGTCAAGAGTTTCGTGAAGGAAGACATGATGAATGGAATAACGATGGCGCGGCCGATAGAGGTGACTGGACACCTGCTCCAGACACAACAGTCAAGGTTGCTTGTTGATGCAAACGAAGGGAAAGGGACGACCTGCGTAACCCTTTTGCGGAGCGCTGGGGTGGATGTTTCGAAGGTCGGGGGAGTCTCGGCTTCCCGTCTTGCGCAAGATCTTGAGTACTTGTCACTGCGATCTGCGGCGGAAGGGTACAATGTGAGATGCTTTCGAACTGTCGAGAGTTGAACCCCGATGGGCGCAGAAAGAAGGGCTAGAGTGATGCAAGCGATGGAAAGAGTGTGTGATGTTCGCCTTGGCGGGGAAGAAAAGGGCCTTGAGGAGCGGGTTGTTTCAAGCACCCCTTTCTGTCGGACAGAGTTTAGTGGGCGACTGAACGGGTAGCTTAGGCAGGGGAATCAGTCAGGGTCGAAAGTGCCCCAAATCAATAAATGAACGGATTGGTCCTTGATAGTATTGAGGGGTGGGCAATTCGGGGGGGGCGGAGATTTTGGGGAAACGGAAATTGGCGGAATAACGGCTATACGAAGGCGTCGAGGTCTGAGTTGCTCTAGGGAAGCAACGCGTGACAGGCAGCCGGTGGAGAAAATAGAAAGAAGTGTGAAAGGTAAAAGAGAGAGACAAGTGAATGGGATGAAATGGTAATGATAGTAGTGGAGGCCCAAAAGAGCAAACGAGTGTCTAGGGTCAATAGCAGCAGAAGGGGATGAAGGAAAGTGACGAGGCAGTTCAAGGACTCCTCTCGAGGAAGGAAACGAGTGTGATTGACCGGACTAGTCTAATAATTAGTTAGATTAGGTGGATAGGAATAGAATTGCTGCTTGCTTGCTGGGCGGCAAGATGGAAATGGGGGTGTGGTTAGACTAGGGGAAAGAGGGTCGGTCGAGGGTGGAAAAGGCCCTTAAGCGACGCACTGACAGGCTAGTAAGAGGATCCTCTAGGGGGGAGGGAAACAAACAACAAAACATGCGAGTTACAGATACAATGAGTTGGTACTTGGTACTTGGTACCAGGTACGGTAAGGCTCTGGGAACGGGAGGGAGACCAACCCTGGATCAAAGGATGTGCAGCCGTGCAGCCGTGCAGCCGTGCTCCTACAATACATACAGTACATAGAAAAGGGCACCACGGCAGGGTGGTAATCTATTTCAGTACTGAGTCAATACCGGATATCTTACCAGATACAGTACCAGGCAGGTACCAGGTACGGAGCACATTGGAAATGATCCCGCGGGTGTGACGAATGATCGAAGGGAGGGTCCAGGGGCAACTCCCACTTTTTCCTCCTTTGGGTCTAACACGGGCGGAGACTGACTGGCATGTGCGAATCCACTCCAGGCTTGCAGTTTGGTCATGAGCTGCTCTGAAACGGGATGAACATCCCTCCCATGGTACACCAAATAACTTAACTGACTTAACCATTGATGATGATGTTCTTCCATCTCACTCTTCTAAAGTTTCGCACGACTGACTGAATGTGTGAACTGTAGTCAGTTTGTCCATGATGCACAGTATCCGATAATCTACACTACTCTACACCATTCAACTACAGAGGCATCTACAAAGAACAAACACACACCTCTCTCAGACCCGGTGTATTGTAATGACTCCGCCCATGTCTTACTCCGGTTATCGTCCAACCTCGACCACTACCCTCGAGGATATTTATAGTACGTCGTGAGGAGAAAAAAAATTCGGGCACAGTTATCCGTCGATCCGTCATACTTTGAATGGCCTGCTACCTCTACTGCTGCTGCTGCTGCTGCTGCTGCTCGAATCCGTCCACTTGACAGTCGTTCGTGACGAAGAATCGATGATTTCCCGCTGTCTTCCTTGCTTGTGGCCAAATTATGCCGAGTACGTGGTGGCCGTTTTTGCGAGACACTTTCTCCCGCTCGCCTCGAACTCCCGGGGCAATCCAAAGCAGCAAGCAAGCAAGCAATCAATCACCTTTCTCTCGAATGCTATTCCCACCACATTCCCTGTCAAATACTGTGTAAGTCGAAGTCTGCCTGCCTGACAGTTCCATTCTTCTCAGCCACGCCCGACATTCCACTCCGTGCTCCCGAGGAATGATGTTCAGATCGTGCACGACAGGACCCCATGCCAGTGAGTCGGATGCGAGAACGAAGGGCGAGGCCACCACCGGCAAGGGGAGAACAACACCACTGGCCGAAGAAAAAAAAACCGCTCAGGGACTCACGAACTAAGGTAGACTAGAATCCGTAAACAGTTCTCTCACTTGGCCTCTTTGATCCTAGATGCCTGTGAGCCACCAATGGAATGACGGGCTGAGGTAAAAAAGTCCCTGACTCCTAAAGGCCCTTGAGTCCTTCCGGCTAAGTGCAGGAAAGAAGGGGAGAGAGTGGACGAAGTGGAGAATTCTCTTCTCGCCCCAAAACCCCCAACCCTAGATGTTCGCCGCTCCGAAATTTTGCCATCGTCAGGGTGTCCAGTGTCAACCAACACCCGCAACACGCCTTTCCAAATTGAAAGCATTGTTGTTCTTGCAAAGTGCCAAAAGATTAGCAGTAAGATTGGGAACAAGAGATGTGAGGTCTGGGCCCTCTGCGTTCAGTGAGATCAAGATTGTTCTCCACTACCGCAATAGCCCGTAAGTTACATGCTATGCCATCTTTCATAGGAATATTGTTCGAGCAACAAATCTGACCCCGGCGCGTTGGAATGAACCCCCTCTATCCGGCTTGTCCGGTGTGCGTATTGACAGTGTAAATTGCACGAGAGAACTCTCTCTTTGCGGGCGGTTCAAGCCACGCACGTCGTGGGCTGAATTTGGACCAGACAGTTTCTCAATGGTATGACGCGTGTCCGGATTGCGGAGTTGGCATGTAACATGCGATATACGCCGTGAAGCAAACAGGGCTTCTGTGATCTGCTCACTGCGTTGAACCTGTCAGTTTGAGTAGCCCTGCGATGAGAAACTGAAGCCAGACCAGCTTCCTAATCTAACTCGACTTTCCTCGCACGTCTACAACAGCACGAACCTGGGGAGTTTCTATGCCGGCATGAACACCCGTGGCCCGAGGTAGTGGATCACGGTTAGCATTGTTTATCTTTAGCAAACAAAGCCCCCCCCGCCCAGGCAAGAAGATTGACTTTGCAGGGCAACTCCGGGCGGGAACGACGAACGATATGTCCTCATTGTAGTATCTAAGTCGCTGGATTGACTGATGATTGTTCATCACTTGCTGAGAAATCAACCTTGCTCGTTTGGATTGACATCAGCAGGCGACTTGGCACATGACCCGGACAGACGACGGTCGGGCGGGCTTGTGACGGTCTGCAACGGCTGAATAGAACTTGCGATTCTCGAATGACGGGGGCGGAGCGTTCATGTCTCAGTAACATGGTTCAGCTAAATTGGAGTGTAGAAGCGGACTAGGTAGGAGAGATCCATTGTGTATTTGTGCGCAGTTTGGAACAAAGATAAGACCTATTTCAGGCCTCGTCTCGACCTCAAGAATCACCGGCATTGATCATAAGAATAAAGTCGCGTGAGTCGTGCTATGGTCCCAAGGGATAATCGAAACCATAGAACATCTCCCCACATAATGATAGTCCCTCGTGCGAAGAAAAAAAAAGCAACATCGACGACGGCCAGAGTGAAACAGGCCGTGGACCATTCTAGACTGTGGGACCAGAGAAGGCTTCCCATCTACCTTAGCGATGATGCGAGGCAGTTACCGCTAACTTAGACAGGCAATCACAGAACCTGCCAGCATTCTAGCTATCGGCAGCACCGAGGGTAAGATTTAGGTGTAATTATCTGCCTGGTGATCTCATGTGTCCTTGCGGCGGTTGGATCTATTGGGTTATCGTGTCAATATGTCTTACTTGGTTAAGAGAGAGAAAAAATATGAATGATGCTTTGGTGGTAGTGTGAATTTGTACCGCCGGGCTATTTTATGTTGCCGGTACATGGTCGGGCGGAGATATACAAGCGACGAGCGGGCCGCATATTCTTGAAGTATCTACAGGGGGAAACATGATAGGATATTGCTGGATCATTGTCCGCGGGGAGCCAGCGGTGGATTATTTTTTTCAGAAACTGCAATCAAAGGTGTGTCCAGCAGAGGAGATGGAACAGTTGCTGGCCTTGGTAGTATGTTCATTCGCGGATCCCGCATTAGCAGGGGCGATAGAGAACTTGGTATACCTTGGCCCCATTCTACTGTAATTTCAGTGTCAGGCAGAGGCAGCCTGAGCCCAAGAAGAAAAAGAAGGTTATGGCTGCACTAGGCCTCGAATCTGATTTTACTATCAACAACACCAGACAAATGCGAAATGCGACAGTAGAATGTGACTTGTCTCAACAACAACGGTATCTCCAAAAATACTTCGATGTCCACTTTTGACGTAGGTTTTCCCTCAGTATATATGCTCATTTAATAAGACATCTCTATCAAGAAATGGAAACCTCGGCTCAGACAGATTGGACGCGCGTCTGTTGAGCCTTTCATTTTCATAAGTCGAATCTCCTCTAAGGCTTGGGGATGTGCAGCGTCTTGCTGACCATTAGACAGCCATGTAGCACAAAAAGAAGCACAAGGGGGTGGAACTCGAGCGCGGTTCCTTCGCCCGCAAGGCCCAATGGTAGATTGTCCTGGACCCAGTCCTGAGAGACACAGTAGGCCATAAATGCTGCGATGGATAGGGTGGTTGGGATGGGCGTGCCCTCGAAATACTTGGACTTGCCGGTCTTGTCCTTGGGAAGAACAGCAACGGTCACGTTGAAACGCGCCAATCGGGTCAGTCCGCAGAGAACGAAGAACGTCAGGAAGAAGTGGTCGACAGGGGTGCGGATGCCGATGGCGAACGCTGCAGCGGCGGGTGCCATTCCGAAGGAGATCTGGGAGAGCACAAGAGTAAAAGATCAGCAGCAAGCCCCCTCCCATATCAGAAAAGACCACAAACGTACCAGATCCGCCAAGGAGTCGAGCTCTTGTCCCATCAGAGAAGACTTCTTTCTCCATCTAGCGATCTTGCCATCCATGAAATCAAAGAAGAGTCCAAAAGGCATAAACGTAAGAGCAGCCCAGAGAGAGGAATAATCGGTGGGATCCCCGAGACAGTAGCGCATTGACGAAAAGACAGACATCACTGTTTAAAACAGTCAGTATGAGGTCGCAGGTTCTCGCTCGGGCTGGGGTGTAGCTTGCCTCCGCAGAATCCTATAAGTGAATACATTTTAGCAGAATTCTCAAGGATCACTTTCCAATGACACCAGATTCCTTACCATTCAGTTCAGTCACAAGATCGGCGAGATGTAAAGCTCTGGTAAAGGATGGCAGATGAGTACAAGGTCGAAGAAACCAGCTTCAAGGTCGGGGATGCTAACCTGACCATGCTAAAATGACCCGTTTCTGCTGAAAGGAGCATCTTTTGCTTTTCTTGTCCTTTAACACAACATGAGCATCCTTTGTCGCAGACAGACTGGTTTTAAGCATACCTCCATCACCCGCAGGTGGGACACCGCTATTCTGAGACGTATTCGACGGCATGGTGGATGTCCTCCGAGACATGCTCAAATTGCAAATATTCGATTGATAAAGAGACTGAGGCGAGGGCGAGAGATCGAACGGGAGAAGCTTGGTTATATGCGGAGGTTGTCCGTGGGGAATGGAAGGGGAATGATGCAATGCGAAACCAGTTATCGATGAAGGAGTGTTGACAGGCGCACAGATTAATTCTTTGACCGCTTAGGCGTGGCTAGACGTCATTGCAAGGCGGTGTTGGCCTGCGCCACACACAGCCTCTGTTACCAACTATCGGAATACGTTGCAGAATTTGCGCCACAAACAATCCTTGGACAGATGCTGCAAGAGGTGAATGTGGCTGATAGCTTGAAGACTTACAGCAATACAGCTGGGGTTATAGCTCAGTGGTAGAGCGCTCGCTTTGCATGCGAGAGGTCTGGGGTTCGATCCCCCATGACTCCATTGTTTTTGCCAGATTTGCACCTAGCCGCCCGCCCTTCTTGGATCTTAAAGGGCTACTACCAATAAAATATCATTCAAAGTTTGATTGTCGAATTGTTACCACGAACCAGAATTGCGACATTCATATTTTTTTTTTTTTGGCAATCTGACCTTGTCATACGTGCACCAATCTGTAGTTGGTTGAAACCTGGATATCGGCGAAATACCTACCACAACCTACGCTGGGCTTGACGAAAGAATTATCCAAGACTAGAGAAGCAAAAACAAAGATCAATTAAATAAAGCACATAGATCAGAAGAAAAAAGTATTGGAGTCATGGGGGATCGAACCCCAGACCTCTCGCATGCAAAGCGAGCGCTCTACCACTGAGCTATAACCCCAGCTTAGTCATAGTCCTTTGATTTAGTCTTTATGAGCAAAATACAACCATCATCGTGACTCCAGATTTTGCCCTATGCTCAGACCTCGCCGCATATGTATGTCCTTGCCAAGCACACTCCTCATGCAAAAACAAGTCTGAAAGGCATAGTATCAAACAATGTAGTTATCCGCACAGCCTGATAAATCTTATACATCTTGACTCGATACCGTCCCCAATCTTTACCTGGCACCCGGCGAACCAAAGATGATTAGTATTCATCTGAAATCCATGCCACAAAAACACCGACCTGACATGGTTACGACCAGCTGCAGGTTGAGCAAAAAATGGAGTCATGGGGGATCGAACCCCAGACCTCTCGCATGCAAAGCGAGCGCTCTACCACTGAGCTATAACCCCAGATTAGTCATGCTGACTTCATTCTAAAATCCCCATGGACTCATTTTCGATCTCGCCATTCTGCGAAGACATCGCATCTCTCTCTTATACTGGGCCCGCGGCAATTCAAGGGAAACAAAGGTAGAATTAACAGGTATAATCATTGCAATACATGGGTCTAATGGCTGCATTGTGCTCACAGCCTCTGCACTTCGAGAAGCAGCAATTTTCCGAGAATGCACAAGAATATCGAGACAAATAAATTCCTGCAAGAAGCTCCCGTTTTCCCATAACGCCGTAATAAGACAGTACTTTAGGTCAGACAGACACTGTCTATCGTCGGAACCCACCGCTGCCACCTCCCCGAGAGAAACCACCACGACCACCGCCGAAACCACCGCCACCGCCGCCTCTGGAGAAACCACCACGGCCACCACCGCGACCACCACCGAAACCACCACCACCGCCACCTCTGGAGAAGCCACCGCGACCACCACCACGAGGACCACCACGACCTCTGGGAGCGAAGCCACCACGGCCACCGCGTCCACCAGCACCACCACGACCAGCACCGCCGGCTCTCTTGGGCTTGGCAGCTCCTGTGAAGGGTATTAGCATCAATGATCTGGTCATGCACATATATGTTCGGAATCATACCCGGTGGGGGCTTGGGCTTGGGAAGGAACCTAAAGCCACGAGGTTAGCATCGTTCGCATGGTACCCAATGGATGTCGTAACATACTTCTCCAAAGGAAGAAGCTTGTCGCCGCCGATGTAGACCTTGTCACCAGCCTTGAACGAAGTCGCGACAATGCCTTCCTGAGGCTTCACGGTGAAGTAGACCTGGTTGATGGGGCCAAGAACCTCATCGACCTTACCGATAGGGGTCTAAGGGCAAGTCTCGTTAGCAATGGTGTCGTTTCGGGAGCGATAATCGGAGTGGATCGTACTTTGTTCTCGAGGTAGATGGGGGCGTTGAAGTAGGGAATCTTGGGGTTGATCGATTCGCAAACCATCTCGCCTTCGCAAGAATGCATGACAGTTCCCATCTCTGTAGCAAATCCATCAGTGACTAGTGTTTGGTTGTTTTGTGGAGGCATATTTACCCAAAACCTGCGCCGGGGGTCCGACAGGCTGCTGAAAGCCTCCGCGACCTATCCAAAGAAAATTTCGTCAGCCTATCCTCAACGCGACAATCAATTCTCCCATGCTCTTCTGGCTGAAAACTCACCACCACGACCACCAAAGCTACCGCCACGATTGGCGCCCGTACCACGGCCCCGGAAAGACATGTTGTATTGCTGGGTGTTCTGATCGACCTGAATCCGGAGTCCGGAGAAGTTTTCAAATGGTGGGAAGCCTCGAAGCGGCAAGTGTCGCTAGCCGCAAGGGCAGTTTTAACTCACGTGACTCACCGCCCCCCCTCCTCCGTCTCGGTTTTTGAGTCATGATCGTCCGATTTCGATGTGGAAGAGCCATCCCGCTGCTGGTTTACCCCTCTTCAATAGTCGGTACACCTCTTCTCAGATTGACCTTCTGACGTTGCGGGCTACAGTCATGGCTTCCGAGGGCTCCAACGATCTGCCTGTCAGGCCTGCTGCCGACGCCAAACCTGCTGGTGAGTTTACCATTTTTGCCCCGCCACATGTTATCGGAAGCCCTCCTAATCAGTAAACGGGCCAGGCAACGGTCTTCCCGATTTTATCATCGAACGTAACAACCTCTTCGAGGAACTGTGGCAGCAATATCTGGAAGAGCTCAAGAACAAGCCCCACAACGACATCAATGTCACCATCGAACTTGGTGACGGCAACACCGCCAATGTCACCGCGAAGGCCTTCGAGACCACCCCCGCTCAGCTTCTGAAGAACGTCCCCAAGGAATTGAGTGCTAGCATCGTTATCGCGAAGGTGGACAAGGAACTCTGGGATCTTGGTCGCCCGCTCGAGGGTGATTGCACCGTCTCTTATGTGCCATTTGAGCACCCCGAGGGAAAAGAGGTTTTCTGGCACTCCAGCGCGCACACCCTGGGAGAGGCCTGTGAGTGCGAGTTCGGATGTCTTCTTTCTCACGGTCCCCCCACCCCCCAGGGTTTCTTCTATGATATGGCCATGCCCGATGGGTACGTTCATCTAGTCCTTGCCTTCAGGAGTTTCCACGCTAACTGCGAAACAGTCGTGTCGTCAGGGAGACTGATTGGTCGGCCTTGGACAACAAAGCCTCTCGTATCTTCAAGGAGAAGCAGAGCTTCGACCGGTTGGAGGTCACCAAGGAGAACCTCAAGAAGATGTTCGCATACAGCAAGTACAAGCTTCACTACATTGACAAGTTGGTGACCGGCGAAAAGAGCACCGTCTACCGGTGCGGTACTCTTGTCGATTTGTGCAGGGGTCCCCACATCCAGAGCACTGGCAAGATCAAGACTTTCAAGATCATGCAGGTATGTCGCGGTCATAGTATTTCTATCTCATAGTGGCCTATTGCTAATATCTCAAAGAACTCTTCGGCGTACTTCCTTGGCGACCAGACCAACGACTCACTGCAGCGCATCCGTGGTGTTGCCTTTCCCGACAAGAAGCTGATGTCCGAACACCTTAAGTTCCTCGAGGAGGCAGAGAAGCGCAATCACCTCAAGATCGGAAAGGAGCAGGAGCTTTTCTTCTTCGACGAAGTCTCTCCTGGATGCGCTTTCCTTTTGCCCAACGGTACTAAGATTTTCAACGCTCTCCAGTCCCTTCTGCGCTCAGAGTATCGCAAGCGTGGCTACCAGGAGGTCCAGACCCCCAACATGTATGATGTTGGTATCTGGAAGACTTCCGGCCACTGGGCGCACTACAAGGACGACATGTTCAAGTTGGACGTCGAGAAGAGAGAGTGGGCGCTGAAGCCCATGAACTGCCCTGGTCACTTCGTGCTCTTTGGTCACCGTGACCGTAGTTATCGTGAGCTTCCTCTGAGAATCGCGGATTTTGGTGTCCTGCACCGTAACGAGGCCTCCGGCGCTCTCAGCGGACTTACCCGTGTCCGCAAGTTCCAGCAGGATGATACCCACATTTTCTGTACTCAGGACCAGGTAAGGATTTGGCACGAGCTTTCCCGTCATTTCACAATGGAACTAATTCAGCGTAGATCATGTCCGAGATCGAGGGTCTGTTCGACTTCCTGCAGTCCATCTACGGCCTCTTTGGCTTCACCTTCAAGCTCAAGCTCTCTACCCGCCCGGAGAAGTACCTGGGTGAGCTTGCCACCTGGAACTATGCCGAAGAGCAGCTGAAGGCTGCCATGACCAAGTTCAAGGGCAGTGACTGGTACATTGACGAGGGCGATGGAGCCTTCTACGGCCCCAAGATCGACATCACCATTGCCGATGCCCTCAAGCGAGAGTTCCAGTGTGCCACCATCCAGCTTGACTACCAGGCTCCTATCAACTTCAAGCTTGAATATATGACCAACGAGAAGACGCAGACGGCCCAGATGACCCAGGAGGAGCCTAAGGAGGGCGAGGCCAAGTCCACGGAGCCTGGTCCTGGTCGCGCTCGTCCCGTTGTTATCCACCGTGCCATCATCGGCAGCTTTGAGCGTTTCCTTGGTATCTTGATTGAGCACTTCGGTGGCAAGTGGCCTTTCTGGATCAGTCCCCGTCAAATCCTAATCGTCCCGGTCATGCCCGCTGTCAACGACTACGTCGAGGAGTTGCAGCAAATCTTGCGCGCTGACAAGCTGAACGTTGACATTGATATCAGCGGTAACACCATGCAGAAGAAGATCCGTACTGGACAATTGCAGCAGTACAACTTCATTTTCGGTATGTTCTCTGTCTTGTTATGCTTCTCTCCTTCACTTATGCTAATTCCGTTATTCTAGTTGTTGGTGCCCAAGAGAAGGAGAACCGCTCGGTCAACATCCGTAACCGTGATGACCCCGCCACCCAGAACAAGGGCATCATGGTTCCTCTGGAAGAGGCCCGTGAGAAACTCCGCAGTCTGCGGAAGGAGCGCAGACTGGTCAACTCCCTGTAAAGGGAGAATTCTGCCATTCTGCTCGCTGGTAGAGTGAGTTGCTTAAAGAATACTCAAGATTTACGTGTCGATATACCATAGTTTTAGATCCTAGCTCGCATAAAGAGCCAATGCAAGGCAGGAAAGAAAGACAGACTAAGATGAAAGAGGTTGTGCTTCTAGACTTAAAGAGGGGATGTTGGTCTTGCTATTGAGCTCGAGTTTTGACGATGATGTTTTGCTTGAAGCGTACGTAGCCTGGGAAAAGTGCGGTTTGTGAGAAGCCCTGAAGTTATCAATGGCTCGATTGTTGGCGTTTACCTTGTCGGGTCCTTCCCGGCTAAACTACTTAGCAAATGCTTGTATGAGGGAGGCTAAATTTACGCGACGGAATGCTGGTAGTTTAGCAATGCCAGGACCCCTGACTGAGCTGGTATATTCGTACGGTTTACGGAGTACTCCGTACTTCATATCGATAATTGTCTTTGCTTTCTCCTGAACATTGGTGCACTGCTTGATCCATCATATTCCTCTATGAGTGTTAAAGATCCACCCGAGCCCCTCTCTCCACCTATGTCAACGTAAGCTTTAGAGGGCACTTCCTCTCTCCCTTCCTTCCTCCCCCCCCCCCCCTTTGGGGCAATTGTTCCGAATTTTCTGCAACAATCCCATTCAAACACAATTCTGCCGTGCTAAGGTGTCTTTCTCCACACCCCAGAACAAAGAAAGTGAGGTGATCATCGTCATGTCTGATCCCTGATGATGTCTCGAATCAACCGTCACCCCTCCCTGCTTATCGCGGCCGCGTTCCTCGCCGCATGCCTGATATTTCTCCTCTCCTCATCCCGCCGGACCGCCACTACTGAACCCCTGTCTCACAATGAATTGAACCAGCCGTCATCGTCTCCCAATGATTACACGAACCCGTGCTACGTGGATCTCGACCTCCTGCGGCAATATTCTCCCACGTCTTCCTCAATTGAGTACGCGCGATTAGAGATCGCCGTGGACCAGTCCGACAATTTCACCGGGTACACAGATACCCTCGATGCCAAGTTTCCCAAATTCCGGACGGTGTCCCTGGAGGGTGATGCGCAGCGGCAGGACCTCTCCGCCGAGCGATGCGCGCCCGCCGTGACTATTCAGGGCCCCCGGCCGCGTCCTCGTCCCGATGCATCGCACCTGGTCTTCGGCGTTGCGACCTCGATGGAGCGCCTGCTTGATTCTTTGGATGCCTTTGCACATTGGGCCGGTGGAACAAACGCGCGGATTCTGGCCGTGGTGGACAGTGCCGGCGCCGCCAAGAAGGGGGCACTGGCACGGGCGGAGGCATTGGGGATCCGTTTGGTGATCCGGGAGAAGGCAGTGGAAGAACGCTTGGATCGGTGGTTCTATCTGGTTCGGTACCTGTACGAACTGCGGGACGACAACACCCAATGGACGGTCCTGATCGATGATGACACCTTCTTCCCCTCGATGGAGAGGCTGGTCGACCGACTGGCCACATATGACCCGACGCAGCCGCATTACGTCGGGAGCATGACGGAGGACCTGCATCAGTTGTATAGTGGGGGTTTGATGGCATACGGCGGTGCGGGGATTTTCCTCTCGCTGCCTCTGGTTCAGCAGCTGCAGCCTTTCTTCGACGAGTGCTACGTCTTCAAGAGTGGCGGCGACCGAATGCTCTCGCAGTGCATCTACGCGCATACGAACACGAAGCTTACCTGGGAGAAGGGCCTCTTTCAGGTGGATCTCCGCGGCGATGCGTCCGGGTTCTACGAGGCGGGTCGGGAACAACCGCTCTCGGTGCACCACTGGAAGTCCTGGTTCCAAGCGGACATGGTGGCTCTGAGTAAGGTAGCCAGCATCGCTGGCGACGAAGCGTTACTCCATAGGTGGCTTCTACCGAGAGACTGGTACCTCGTGAACGGCTTTTCGGTGATCCAGTATGCTACAATCTCGGATGATCCGCTGCCCATGGAGCAGACATGGGATGACAGCAAATATACGGGGCCGGATCCGTTTACGTTCAGCCTAGGACCGCTCCGGCGGAAGGATGAGAACAAGATCTCGTACCGCCTGCAGACTGCAGTGGCAGAGCGCGAGCGGGTGCGACAGATTTACACGCGACAGGTAGAGCCGGAGAGGCTAGAAGTGTTGGAAGTAGTTTGGGTTGTTGCTTCAGCAGACAATCCATGATTTTTACTTCTTAGATTACAATTTTAGTTTAGCGCAAATAGACCAAATGAATACCATTTATGAGCTCTCAAGCTGATTGGAAATCAGGTGGTGGTTTTGGGCTGCACACACTAGATCTTACATAGAGCGGGTGAATCGCTGGTGCATGCAGCGACTCGCCAATGCAGTCATGCCATCCTCCGATTGTTGCTAGGAGCTTGCCTTCGGCTAAGCCTAGAAATGCTTATCTTCTGCCATACTAGGTAGGAAAAATCCTTGTGTCTGTGGGAAGTGGCTGTTCAGTAGTAATGCATTTTCGACCTCATAAAGAAATTAGGCCGCCGTGATAGGCAGAATTCTTTTCCGTATGAAGCTGGGGCCATATCACAGATGCAGTCAGGCTGCATGCATTTATTATCACGAGTATTATTGCTGCTGCTGCTGCTGCTTGCTTCTCACTACTCATGCAGCACGGTGCGCGCTTCGTCGACCCAATCAGTGGAGCTGTCACATTTCAGCTGGTCTCCATCGGCCCCTCTCTTCCATCATTTGCAGCAAAGCAGACAGGCGGTTATCTGTCTGCTGCAAGCGGTTGGGTCTCCGGTGGGTTTCAGGACTCGAGAATGGGTCCATCCAGCGATCGAGGCTAGCGAGTCAAAGGAGCATATCGTGGCCTTCTCGGTCGGCCTGGGCTTTTTCTTTGTGTTTTGCCAATTGCCAGCCTTAGTTGTCTTAGTGTACCCTTCCTTGGCGGGGCGTTCCGGACGGGTTGACGGTCAGTCAGTCACCCAATCCTTGGTTCTTGTCTGCATTTATTATTACTGTATCACTGTTGCTCTCTCGTGTGCGTAAGGCGAGCCTCTCGTATAATTGAGGGTGTCCGGGATGGGATGTAGATTTCTCTGGAAGGGGGCTTTATAAGAAAGACAGGACAAGGTTAGAGCGACAGATAGAAAGAAAAGAGTAAAAAGGAACTTGTGACCAGCAACTTAGTTCCCCCTCATCCCCTCATTGCCTTTTCCTCCAAGCTATTTGCTTTGTACCCCACCGGGTCGGAACAACTCGCCCTCCCCCTCTTTCCCCTTTGAGCCTCCTTGTCTCTCGCTCTCTCGCTCTCTCGCGCCATCCTCAACTCTCACTCGCTCTTCGTCTCCTCCTCCCGTCTTTCTCTTTCTCCCTTCTCTCCCCTTTCTCTTGCTATCCTCTCCTCCTTCCGTTCGCTTTTTGTCCTCATTGTTTGCTCTCATCTTGCTCTGCCGCTAGTTCAACATGTCCGACCTGCAGGGCCGCAAGATCTTTAAGGTCTTCAACCAGGACTTCATTGTCGATGAGCGCTACAATGTCACCAAGGAGCTAGGTCAGGGCGCATACGGTATCGTCTGGTATGTTGTGATGCTTTTCAACTGGTTTCGAACGGGAAGGGCAATGAAGACTAAGAACGGACAGTGCTGCTACCAACGTGCAGACGGGTGAAGGTGTTGCCATCAAGAAGGTCACCAATGTCTTCAGCAAGAAGATCTTGGCCAAGCGCGCTCTGAGAGAAATCAAGCTGCTTCAGCACTTCCGAGGCCACCGTAATGTACGCTCTCACGCTATCTAGCTATCTTGACCCCTGGGAAATCGCTGACTCGAGCTTGTTGCAGATCACTTGCTTGTACGATATGGATATTCCCCGCCCAGACAACTTCAACGAGACCTACCTATACGAAGGTAAGCTCCCCCACCCCGATTATTTCATTTGAAGGGGTCGCTCACACAATGGATCACTCCTGTAGAGTTGATGGAGTGCGACTTGGCCGCTATTATCCGCTCCGGACAGCCCCTCACCGATGCCCACTTCCAATCCTTCATCTACCAGATTCTCTGCGGTCTCAAGTACATCCACTCGGCGAACGTGCTGCACCGTGACTTGAAACCCGGTAACTTGCTGGTCAATGCCGACTGCGAGCTGAAGATCTGTGATTTTGGATTGGCCCGCGGCTTCTCGATCGATCCGGAGGAGAATGCAGGATACATGACGGAATACGTCGCCACGCGCTGGTACCGCGCCCCGGAGATCATGCTGAGCTTCCAGAGCTACACCAAAGCTAGTAAGTGATGTCCTGTTCTTTCCATGTCGTGCGAGATGCTGATATCAGGACGCAGTCGATGTCTGGTCTGTCGGTTGTATCCTTGCTGAGCTGCTCGGAGGCCGTCCATTCTTCAAGGGTCGCGACTATGTCGACCAGCTCAACCAGATCCTGCACTACCTGGGAACACCCAACGAGGAAACCCTTAGCCGCATTGGCTCCCCCCGGGCCCAGGAATATGTGCGCAACCTTCCCTTCATGCCGAAGATCCCCTTCCAGCGCTTGTTCCCAAACGCCAACCCCGATGCCCTCGACCTATTGGACCGCATGCTTGCTTTCGACCCCACGTCGCGCATCTCGGTCGAAGAGGCGCTGGAGCACCCGTACCTGCACATCTGGCACGACGCTTCGGACGAGCCCACGTGCCCCACCACTTTCGACTTCCACTTCGAAGTTGTCGACGATGTGGGTGAGATGCGCCACATGATCTACGACGAGGTCGTGCGTTTCCGCTCCACCGTCCGGCAGCAGTCGCAGGCGCAGGCCGCCGCGGCCCAACAACAGCAGGCTGCCCAGCAGACGAACGTGCCCATTCCCGAAAACCAGCAGGGCGGATGGAAGCAGGAGGAACCCAAGCCTCAGGAAGCGCTCGCCGCGGGCGGTGGCCACCAGAACGATCTGGAATCGTCTCTGCAGCGTGGCATGGATGTGCAATGAGTCTGTGCGGTTGCTGCCTGCGCTGAGCTGCCGGTATCATCCATGAACCATCAATGACTGCACTACCAAGGGATGACCAATGGAAGATGGAAGATGAAAAAGAAGAGATCTAGTACGGGGCACGATTGCTCCCCACGTAATATCTGTCGATTCAAACCCCCTTTACCAACCAAATTCGTCGACTTGCCCGTTGTCGTTCTGGAACTCGCGGGCGTTTCCGGGACTGTCATCTGCCCGATATATGCTATGTCTATTACCCTCCAACAATATAAAACCTTCGCGGTTCACTGTCAAATCTATTCTTCCGATATGCAAATAAACCAAAATTCAACTTTCTTCGTGTATGTTCCCTCTCAGAGGACTTTTTTCCTCCTCTGTACGGTTTTATCATAGATGAGAGTGCTTCATCTAGGTGACTCGATCTCCGAGGTCTTATTCCCAGTAATCAACCACTTCTTATTCCTGCTTCGTCCGAGAAAGGAAGTGTTCTTTGACAGATACATTAGTTGTAAGACGAGCCACCATCGAATCCGTCTTCATCAGTCATAAATACTATTGATAATCCACTATACTATACACATCAATCCCCACGTAACGTCATCGAAAAAAACCCAGGATTTTGCATCCTTTCTTCATCCCAAACCTGAAAAGCTCCACGTAGAAGAAACAAGCAAAATCCAAAGGAATCCCAAACCCCAAGCAAAGCCCTCAAGAATTCACCATTCAGATGCCCCCCCCCCTTTCTCACACTACTAGAGAATATGATAATTCTCGTTCCAAAACAGTAGGTAGCAAGAAGATAAGACAAAGTCAAACCAGAAACCTCCCGCGCCTTCCCTGAAAGCCAGAGCTATATAGACAAGGGCCAAATAAGAGTCAAAAGTATATGAAATGATCCTCAAAAAGAGCATCCAATTCATGTAGATATGTCCCACTGAACGGAATTAGCTCAAGCTTCAGTAGTAATACCCGCGCCACCAGACCGCCATACAAGCGGCGACTACCAGATCCAACATCTTGATGCCTTCGTCCTCGATGATCAGCTTGCCGAGCTTAGCGGATTTGCCGCGCATGCCGCCGCCGGCGCGCTCGCGGGCCAGGGAAAAGTCGAGGCGTTCGTCTTCGCTGGCGCGGCGGCGCAGGAGGAAGGCTTCCTCTTCTTTTTGCTTGGCGTGATGGTGGTGGTGATGGTGGTGGTGAGGATCGTCGAAATCGCCGCCGCCGCTGCTGGTGCTGCTGTTGGATGGGTGGCGGGTATGGTGTTGATGTCTGTGCGGGCTACCGCTACCACCACCTCCAAGGCTCGAGGTGCTGGCACCAGAGCGGGCGCGGGGACGGGTGTAGGTGTTTGGGTTGAGGAATTGGGCGAGGGAGTTGCGTTTGGACGTTGTCGAGGCGGCGGAGGTTGGTGTTTGCGGGGAGGAGATGGCGGTGTTAGTGGGGTGGCTGGATTCGCCGGGAGGGGTGGTGAATTGTTGGGGATTGGAGAGGTCCCGGAAGGGAGTGGTTTGGCTGAGGGCGAAGGGGGAGACGTGGGATGGGCCGGGGGGTTGGTGGAGGTGACCGGCTTGGAAGGGCGTGTTGAAGCGGATCTCAGCCACGGTTACGGCGGGGGTCTCGGGGGGCGGCGCCGCAGTCGAGGCAGCGGAGGGGAAAGGGTGATGATGGCTGCTGTCGTTGCTTCTGCTGTGAGAGTGATGAGGGCCGCCCGGCGTGGGGATCATATGTTTGCATTTCAAGCTGCGGCCGTTGACGCTGGTGGAGAAGGTACAGATGCCGTTCCAGGGCGACGTGAATGTGTAGTAGCCGCTCTTAAGTTTGGACATGCCCGGCGGAAGTGGCTTAGGCGGACTACCGCTGCCTCCATGGTCGAGCGCCGCGCGGTTCATGTCCAAGGAGCCCCCTCGAGGCTCGTCTTGGATATATGGCCGTGAGACGCAGAGCTTGCGGCGGAAGCGTCGAGGTTGGGAAGGGTTGTTCGGGGTGGAAGTCGGCTTGGGACTTGGAGTGGAGTCTAGGAAGCCAGGCGGAATAGAAGCCGGAAGCTTTAATGATGCCAGTGACGGTGGTCGTCCGTCGGTATTGGGAAGATTCAACCCCAGACTAGCAAGGGAGAAAGGCTCATCCTGCGCCAGAAATCGATTGTAACCTGGGGTAGAGATCTCGATATCAAAGGCGCTACCGTCCAAGCGTGGAGCGGAAATCGTCGCGACATTCCACTGACTGCCATGGGTGGGATCGCGGCGAATGAGAGTGATATGAAATCCGGGGGCATCGCGGGGTTGACGCTCCTGCGGTCTCCGGCTTGGAGACTGGCCTGGGCTACGCGCAGGCGATCCTCGATAAGAGCGCGCGGGGCTCCCATGAGCCGAGTGCGGCCGGATTTCAGGCCGAATTCGAGGCCGCCTAGTGTCTAAGCTATTGCGACTGGATGACAATGCCTCGTATTTCTCCTTCCAGCTTTCCTGACCGCGGGAGATGTACCCCGACAGCGCCGCGCTCCACCGGTTGGGTCTCTTCATCGAGACAGCGTCACTACCTGCAGGATCTTCCAGCGGGGCTGCAGGTAGCTGCTTATGCGGACGCGCATTTTCCAGATTTGTAAGGTCTCCCGTAGCGAGCTGCAGAACGCTGTCGCGATCATCCAGTGGCAGATGTGGCGGAGGGGTAACGGGCGAGGTTTCACTGGGCACGGTGCCTTGGAAGCTAGGACGATAAGGGAGATACGGACGCTGTAAGGTATCCAGCACCGGTGGCGGGGACTGAGGCTCCTGCGATTGCCGTGAAGTTGGGCGCGGATGGGCTGGAAGCGGAGGAGATGCGATATTGGCTTCTGCCTTGGGCGAGGCAGCCGCATTCGCGCCGCCCGGTACAGGCTTGCGCCGGACGTTGTTCAATCGCGCCAGATGTGGTTGGCCTGCAAGAGGGGTGTCCGCATCATCTCCGAGAGCTTCCTTGCGCTTCCGAGCCTCCTCTTCGCGCTCTTGTTCGTATTCCTGGAGAAGGGCTTCATCTTCGGGGGTTGCGACGTGCAGGTAATAGAGGGAGGCATTGATTGCCTCCGCCGATACGCTCGATTTCGTTGGGGGTTTCAAGGGAGTGAGGAAGACATCTATATTGGCGCAAAACAGACAGGACAGTCAGCAGTTGTTCATCCATGTAAAAAAAGCGAATCCAAGACTGAAAGGTAGGTGGCTGGGTCGCACGACTAGCCTCGACGGCAGGCGGTCGATAGTGGTAGTGTAGTGCGGGGTATTTGCCGATATCATGCAGTAAGGGTCTGTATGGTTCACATTGTTTACCCACCTCTACTGCCAGGTACACGCACAATGTACAGGACTAGGGGGTCCAACTTCTTCTGCGCCGGATTGCGGGGATAAGCGGGAGGATTCGAGGCGATGGCAGTGATTGAAGATAGCGAGCGGGCCTCGACGGGGGCTCGAGGCAGCCCTGAAACAGCCTCCCCCTCCCCCGCAGCGTCAATCTTCGGCATGGGATGTGGAGGCGAAATCCTGAAGTGGAATGGACTGCGCAGACAATTGCGCTCAGAGATCCAAGCCAGGAGAGGCCGAGCAGCTATCGAGTTGGACCACCAGAAGGCAAAGAACAAGAGGAAGAAGAAAGAGGCTGGGAGGGAAACAAATAAGAGGCGCGGAGAAGCCGGAGAAAACGCCAAGAAGATGTGTCGATCGTCATCGGGCAGCCATACGAGAGACGGGGATGGGGAGGATCAGAATAAAGAGAGATCAGAGAGATCTCGGAGTGGATAACAATGAAAGGACATAGTCTGGAGAAAAGAAAGATAGTTGGGTTACACAGAAGAAAGTCAGTCGAGTTGTGGCTGAAGAAGCAGAAGAGGAGGAAGAGGGAGAGGGAGAGCAAACACACGAGCTTGGACTCGGCGGGTTGTTTGGTTGCCTGGCAGCCCCCCTTCATCCATTTGTCCAGTTGACGGGCAACAATACAGAAAAATCTACAATAATTCACAACTTACGACACAGTCAACACAATGATCATCCATTGAGATGATGGCAGATGAGTGATTGGTATCTCGCTAACAATATATCTTCATAAGAAAGAAAGAAAACAAAAAAAAGGCCCTTGAACCTACAGTCCTCCAGTCCCGAATCCCATTAATCATTCCCCATTCGTCCATCAAACCACTCTAAGTAGATAAAACCATCCAAGGTCAAGTCATAAGAATGTCGAGGGAATGACAGACAGACAGTCTGGAGAGAGAGAGAGAAATAAAGAAAGAAAAATGAAACGAAATGACAGTCGCCGCATGAACGCCAATGCTTCTTCCTAAATGTATATGCCCGTGATCCATCTCCAAGACCATATAATCCAAGACAGGCTTAAACAACCGTCTCCGATCGCTCGCCGGCCGCAATGATTGGCACGTTAAGCCCACGTTCAGGGCTCTGCAGCACAAGCTGCTCGTGACGTCGCGCTCGCAAGAAGTCGCTAATGGCTCGAATCAGGATAAACCACCCGACAATCATCAACACATAGGAAATCCATTCGCTCGTGGTGATGCCGGACATGCCTCCACCCCCTCCGTCACCCCCTGTGCTGCCATCAACATTATTAGGGTCAAAACTGTGGCTGTTTGGATCGGGAGGCGTGACATAGTCGGCGCCGCCCTCGTCCGACCCTTTCGACTCATTGCCGCCTTTCATATAGAAGCCGTATTGCACCAAAGTCAGACCGAGACCCGCCCGGCTACCGTTTTTGGCTGCATGTGTGGTATGGAGTAGATAAGTCAAGAGGAAGCCGACCAGCTGGAAAGACATGGAGATCATAGCATTCCAAACGAACGAGAAGATCGAGCCGACCGGCAGCCCGTCCACGAAAACCTCGTCCGAAGAGATACCAGGGGCCAAAATCGTCGTCTCCCAGTATGGCGGGGTGGCGTCAGCTGCCGCTTCTTCGTAGGACTAATCAGAGATAGTCAGTACACATATCCTCCCGTGGCAACCCAGCGCGCGGATTACAAATCACATACCGGTGGTAAATCCTCGTTCTTCTCCCCACGCTCGGGCTTGGCTGCCAGATTGGCGAACACACCGTCGTTCGCCGAAGTAACCACCCGGCTTGCTGGGGTGCTGAAGGACGGCAAGATGGTTGGTCGTCGCTGGATGCCTCCGGTACCGCGAGTCTCTCCTGAGGACGCCTCAGGGCTGGCGCCCGCTCCTCCAGACGAGGATGCCGCTGCGGTGTTCGCTGCTGCCGCACTGCTGTGATTGTCCGCCATGGCCCAGGGTTCTGGCTGGGCCCGCATCAGCCGCTGACGGTCATCAGGCTCGTCGTCGGGTTCTGAGTCGCTGCCGTCCCCGAAGGCATCGGCTAGGGTCTGGTCGGCATCGTGTCGGCGAGGGTCATCGTTGGGCAGAAGGCGTCGGGAAGAGAAAGAGGATGAGCGAGAACGAAAGGAAGGGGGAGGGGAGTTCGGGGTCGGGCTGGGTCGGAGAGGGATGGACGATTGAGATTGAAGGTGGTCGTCTTCATCGTGGGCGTTAACCTGCATTTGATCCCATCGCGTCAGTTTATCTGAAATGGTACCCAACACACCACACCCAACGAGCACAGAAAGAATGCTACCACTTCTAATCGAGGCCCAGGGGTGGGAAAGTGTTATTTGAGTTGCATACCCTTTGATAACGCTGCGAGCTCATAATAAGCGGAGCGAGCGGAGCAACCGGATCGGAAGGGAAAGGAAAGAATCGAACACAGTCAAAACGAACACCCCGGACAAGATAGAGAGATCGACAAAGAATACGGGAGGAAAGGAGAGAGCAACCCAAAGGGGATGTGGAGGGGGTGAGAAGATGGGATGGCGAGGAGTGGAATGGAAGGAGATGATCGGGGATGACGAGGAGACGGGCGTAAGGCACTCAGGCACCGCTGGGTGGGTGGCGCAAGGCTGTGGGGGCCTTAGGCAGAAGCCAATCAGTAAGCATGAGTTGGTTGCACAACATACTTCCTCGGCATTGCTGCTATGATCATGAGTATGCTGTGAACTACCATATGCAGGAATTAATGATGACAATGTGTATATTTTTATTCTAATATTTACATGAGGTGTGTACTGAATAGGAAAAGAAGGTCAATTGTACGACGCCGGCGCGTTTACCTAGTTGTCGACAAATTGCATCCACTACACACAGACATTTATGACCCCCGACTGACAAATATGGCTCGCCTCCATGCGAGGTTACCCTGTTATTGACCTCAATTTCTCGACAGTAGATATCTTGCCTGCACTTCTCACAGCATCAACTATGATGAAATATGGCTTCCCGAAACATGTCCGCCCAGTCGACGGTAGAACTACTTAAGATCCATGGTCTCCAAGACATGAAGATACGAACCTCACTCGACCGTTTAAAGGATCTCATCATACAATCTTATCTTTATCCAGGAATCACAATCTGGACATTTTCGGGACTTTGTTCGCTCCACAAACACCAGAGAGCACCCCGCAATCTACTCGATCCAACAGCCCAAGCACCATGGCCTCAGAACCGAACAGCGACCCCCACCGCAAAACCTGCCTCATCCCCTACGTGGATCCTGACACTGCACCCTCAGTCATCCAGGAGCGCCTCAAAGTCCTCCCCTTCCGGCGCAACATCCTCCTTATCCTCGCTCACTCCCAAGGCCTCTTCCCCCACATCAGCGGCCTGCTGGGGGCATGTTTCGACGGCAAGCAGCGGAAGCTCTCGCTCTTTGACTGGCAGGTAGTGGTGCTTCGAGTGTCCCGCGCTCTCGATGCGAAGTATGAGTGGGATGTCAACGTTCCCGTGGCCGAGGCGTTCGGCTTTCCCCCGGAGAAGGCCGAGGCCATGGGGTGCTCGGCGCAGGACGTGGTCGAGGGGAAAGGCCCGTGGAGTGAGCGGGAGCGGGCGATCTTGCGGCTAGTAGATGAGCAGTTGAAGGGAGCTACCAACGAGTCGGACACGGTGAAGGAAGCTCTGCAGCACTTGGACGTGGACGAAGTGGTGGAGGTGTTGGTCATGACGGGGATCTATGCGATGTTGGCGGGGGTGATGAGGGGGTTGAAGATTGACGACGATGAGGTTATTCCGGACTTCCAGGAGAAGATCAGAAGTGCTGTCTCTGAGAGTTAATTAGGGGCTGTGGAATGCATATACTTTCTGATTGCCATGCTTTGATTCCTGTACTTACAACAAGGTAGTCCAATCACATTGCCATATTCGGAATAGATTACCCTAATTGCTGCATTGTTCAAGAGCGGACGCAGACTATGGTGGAAACACTTGCACCAGCATCAGCTCCAAAACTTTGATAATGAGTATGAAAGAAAGAAGATCTAACATCCCCCAAAGAAAACTATCTCCCAGCCAACTCAGACACATATATCGTCCCAAATTCGTAGAAGATTGGTGAATATATGTAAGTAGCTTACTAATCTCTGACTAACGAGCATAAGCACATGCAGCTCCGCAACAAAAGTTGCATATCGCGATCCAACCAAACCCATCCAGAACCTCATCCCGCAAATTAATTGACTGCCATCCAAAACCTCCACCATCTCTACACCAAGCCCACCAATTCACAACCACCAGTCCAACCCTCAACCACTTAGCCACTGGCCCAAGGGCAACCCTACACAGAAACAATGGCCACCAAAACACCAGTACGTCAGTCCACCATCCACCCTGTCTCCCCCCAATCCCAATACCAACCCCAACCCCAACCCCAACCCCAATCCCATTCTCCCCCTCTCAAAAGCCCAACTAACACCCCCTAAAAAGTCAACAACAGCCCGCATAACCCACCTCCTCACCCACTGGCCCAAAGACAAAGTCCGCCCGGCCTCCGTCTCCATCCACGCCTACCTGCAATCCCGGCTCCCGCAGCCGCAGCCGCAGCCGCAATCGCCGCCGTCGCCCTCCTCCTCTTCCTCATCTTCCTCCGCCCGAACAGCCCAAAAACCGGGCCTCTCCGAGGCCAACCTCGACGCCCTCACCTCCCTCCTCAACGACAAGTACGCCCGGCGGTACCCGCTGCCGCCGCGCCTGCGCCACCCGGCCAGTAACCCGCAGCACTACGAGAACGTGATCCGGGAGTTCGACGAGGCGCCGGACCGGGATTGGCTGGGCCGGTTGCGGAAGAAGGTCGTGGGGATGTTGCGGTTGAAGTAGACTTCACCTATTCCCTTTCTTACCCTGTGGGGGTTTATGTTTTTTCCAGTGGGTTGCTGTATGATAGGGTACAAGGGGGAAGAGAGAGCCGGTATGGATGGATGGGTAGAGGTAGTCTGGGGGCTGGGGCGATTATGGCGAAAAGGCCTTGGGCATTACGCACGGCACACGGCACTCTACTCTTGCTTTCTGGGGTTGTAATAACATGGGGGAGCATTTGGTAGATGGGTTGGGTTGGGTTGGGTTGGGTTGGCTGGAATATGCTTGCTTGCGTCGGGCTTTTATCGATCCTGGAGAAACTGGAGATCGATTTTAGAGAAGTTCGAAAACTCGAAAACTCGAAACAAGGGGATGGGAATCGGGGATGAAAAACTACTGTACTGTACTGTACTTTTATGGCTTATGGCGCAACAAAACTTGTATATATATTTGGACCTTTAATGATGCGCAGCAATCAAAAGTGATGGAACTTGAATCATAATGCAATTGCGATACTCCGTTATCTTATTCATCTATGTACAGTACAATCCATATCTTCCGACCTGAACCTGTCAGGCAATTTCACACATTATATCCAACCCTGTCAATCCAGCTGCGAAGAAAAGGTGCAATAGAAACAAATCACAGCATGGGCTTCACATCGTCAGCAACCTTGAAGGGCGCCTCGGTCTTGCTGCGCACCTCCTCCACAGTGACTCCATCCGCCAGCTCGACCAGCGTTAACCCGTCAGTGAAGTCGACATCAAATACGCACAGCTCCGTGATAATGCGGCTGACACAAGTTTTCCCAGTCAAGGGGAACTCGCACTGCTTGACAATCTTAGGGTTTCCCTTCTTATCGGTGTGCTCCATGGTCACGACCACCTTTGTCGCAGAGGGATTCGAGACGAGGTCCATGGCCCCACCGAAGCCCTTGATCTTGCCTGGAAGCATCCCTGAACCCGAAGTGATTAGCTTCGTCATCTCCATCTTCAGATATATCGAAATCACTTACAGTTAGCCAGATCACCCCTTGCGCTGACTTGCATTGCGCCCAATATCGTCAAGTCGATGCGACCCGACCGGATCATGCCGAAGGACTCATCGCTACCAAAGCACGCCGCGCCAGGCAACAGCGTCACCGTCTCCTTACCAGCATTAATCAGATCCGGGTCCTCCTGTCCCTTCTTAGGGTAGGGGCCCAATCCCAAAATACCGTTCTCGGACTGCAGCATGACCTCAACCGAGGGATCCACGAAGTTCGGAGCCAGCATCGGCATCCCGATCCCCAGGTTCGCGTACATGCCGTTCTTGAACTCCTTAGCCGCGCGCCGGACAATGCGCTCGCGCTTCGCGGCCGTCTCGCCCTTCCCCAGCGCGGCGGTCTCCTCGGCACCTTCCTCCTTGGCGAAGGTGAACTTCTCGATGTTCTTGGGCGTGGTGCTCTGGACCACACGCTTGACGTAGATCCCGGGCAGATGGATCGCCGCGGGCTCGATCTCGCCCACCTCGACGATGTGCTCCGCTTCGACGATCGTCGTCTTGGCATTGCGGCCCATGGCGCCGTTGAAGTTGGCCGCCGCATAGCGGAACTGACAGTTGCCCAGCTTGTCGGCCTTCCACGCCTTGACGAAGGCGTAGTCGCCCTTGATCGCCTCCTCCATCACATAGCTCTTCTTGTCGAAGACCTTGACGTCCCGCGGATGGCTGTACAGGGCCACGGTGCCGTCGGCGTTGTGCTTCAGAGGAAGCTCTCCTGTCTGCACAACGGTGCCGCAGGCCGCCGGGGTGTAGAACGCCGGAATCCCGGCTCCACCGGCCCGACACCGCTCGGCCAAGGTGCCTTGTGGGGTCAATTCCAGCTCAATCTCGCCTGTCAGGTACATGCGCTCGAAGGTCTTGTTCTCCCCAACGTAACTGGAAATCATCTTTTTGATCTGCTTGGACTGGAGGAGAAGGCCCAGTCCTGATCCGTCGACTCCGGCGTTGTTGCTGACGACGGTCAGGCCGCTGATGGCCGGGTTTTCCCGCACCGCGTTGATCAGAGTGTCCGGTACACCACAGAGACCGAAGCCTCCGGCCAATACGGTTGAGTTGGGCTTCAAATCCTTGATCGCAAGATCGGCAGAAGAGACTACCTTATTGATCTCTGGCCGACGGATGCTGTGTGAGAACGCACGAGCAAGAAATCGCTGGTGCTAGACGAGTACCAACATTCTCAGTAAATGGTGGGGAGTCAAACATAAGAAGCTGAGAACCTACCTTGCTGGGGTCGGTACCGAGCCTCCGCGCAAAGCGCAAGCCCGTAGCTAGTTGAGAAGGCATAATGGCAGTATGAGGGGAAGTGGGAACGGGGAACGCCGCGAGGGGATACACTCTCTGTAGTAATCGATGGATAACCTGACTCGCAGTCACCTACGGAGAGGAGGTAGCAAAATCAGAGTGTCAAACAGGACGTAAGAAAGGTATACGAGAGAAGAGAATTGAGGTTGAGAAGCGGAGAAGCTTCGCCTTTTATCGGGTCAAGAGAGGCAGCGAACGGCTTCAGGCGGGGAGATGCGGAAAGACAGCCGCTGCCCGCTACCCGCTGCCCGCTGCCCGTTGCTGCCGTCTTCCCCGGATTGAGAAATGCCAACCCTTCCCCCGCATGGAATAGTCCCACGGTTAGTTGGTTGGCTGGTCTCCGCAATCCGCACGGGAGAGTTTGGAGCCGGAGTCTGGCCAACAACTGCCTTTCACTTGACCAATTTGGTGTGTCCTAGATAAAACTAGGTACAACGAGTCCTTAGAGTCAAAGCGAGTACTGCATTTGCAATTTGACTCTAAACAATTTTGTCTTCATTGTCTACTCCATAGTTGAATCAATAACAAGCAGGGTTGGAGTCGGGTCCGATTCCAAGCCGCGGCCCCCCTGACTAAGCAGGATCGAAGTCTTCTGATCTTCTTCAAGTGTGTCCATGTGTGTCCATGTGTGTTGTGTGTATACATCGTCCCCATCATCAACCAGTCGTGACGCTGAACCGCACCAACTATTTACAGTAAAGCATCCATAATAATCCACCAGATGCATGTGCAAAGAATATCGTACCGAACACAAAACAAACACCCTCTGCATGGCAGCATTTCACTATGTCATCGAAAGTGCCACGCAGAATAACAAACATTGCAGCAGACGGAAGCACCCATCCGCCCACTGATAAAATCAAACTGTCTAGCTCTGGCAAGACGGTTCCTCACTTTGCACCACGAAGGGAAAAAACACAATGCAATCCATATTGACAAGCGTGTCCTTCGCGTTACTCAAAACGCCCTTCAACCCTTCCGCCCATCGTATCATCTGAACCCTTGCGCTTCAAGGGATTAGGCGTGGATTGTCGCCCTGGCGCTGGATCCCCGGAGTCTACCACGCCACGTCACGTAAGTCAGGATGAGTGCTGTAACCTGCTTCGATGGAATCCTTTTCCTCCTTCATGGGGTGGTCGGCGCCCGTACCTGATATGCTTTGGTCGGCCCAAATCGTATCATATGACGGCGGGTTCATATCCACATCTTCGGTCGATGGCACCTTATTCGTGACTTCTCCCATGGCAGTAAAGCCATTCTCTGGCGCCACCTCGAGTAATTCTCTGCGCACGGGATTGACGAGATCATGCTTCATCCGGTCGTTGACATAGACGAGGAAGTACGGCGTGGGAGGGTTGTACTGGCCCTGGTCTCGGAAGATTTCATCCACATTATGCACCTCGCTCACCTCCTGGTCATTGTACTTGCGCCACACATCACGATCAAAGTCGAAGATGTAGATGTAGTAATGGCCGAACTCAACAGAGCCCTGATGAATGAACACGGCGTACAACCTGTATGCCTCATCTTTGTGTTCAATGAACTGGTCGGCTATCATGGCTCGAGTCTTCTTGATCTCGTCCTGGACATCTATTGGGGAGTCAGAGACACCGCGGATAATGTGATAAAGACGGCATGGCAAAGAGAAGGAGGAAGCACTTACGCGTCAACTCAGCACGGGCTAGTTGAGAGAGCCGATCGACCTCCGCGCAAAGCTTTCTGGTATCCACATCAAACAAGTGGTCGGCGGAGTCTGCGTCCTCGAGACGATCTGCGGGATTCATAGCCTCTACATTGGCCGACGGCCCCGCATCCTCGACGAAATTTGTCTCTTCTGCAATACTCTCGAGATCGGTAAGAATCCTGCTGGCTTCGTCGAGCAACCCCGCTGCATCAACCTTGCCATCTTCCTACGAGAGTGTTCAGTATGTTTTCTCAATTGAGGAGGCAGGCAACAGTAAACGTACGGTACCGTGTAACAATTCTGACTGCCGAGCTTCGAGACTCTTCAGTGCGGCTTTCCATTCCCAACTTTGCTGCCGTTTTGCCATGATTTCAGGTGACTTAGTATCCATGTAACGGTCTAGGTATATGGTTTCCTCCAATCCGAGATGATGGGTTGACTTGAAGGAGCGTTTCGTTTGGGGGTCAAACTGGACGCGCTGGACCTGGATTTGAAGCACTGGGGGTAGCTTGCTAATAGTACCAAATCGCTCGGCGATGGTATTGTCAACATTGACTTTCTGCACATCGAACGCTCCGTCAAGCGCTGCATAGATGTTGCGTGGACCTGATGCCACATCGACTTTGATGTCGCACCACCATTCTTCCATCGGACGAACGCCCTGCTCGGACTTGAGATAATATATAGTTTTCCCATAGAACAAGCTGGAGGAAGGAGCTATTAGCGAGGGAATCTTAGTCTGCACTTATTTTACTTACTCCTTCACTTGGTCAATCTGTTCGCCATCGGAAGAGTGTGCAACAGGTCGGATCGCGCATTGGCTTTGGAACAGCACATTATTGATTACTTCCGTCACATCCTGCTGGGCTCCAATCTCCAATTCTTCTTGTAGTAGTCTCTGGGGATCGATGACCGGGGTAGGTCGTGGGGGTACTGGTGGTGGTTGGCTAGCTATCACGGGTTGCTCTGCAGGAACAAGACCGCTCGAGGGCTCCGGGGTCACTTTCTGTCCGTCCTCCATCTTGGTGTCAACAGGAGGTTCATTTTCCTTGTCGTCATTATGAGGTTGCTGCGTCTCTTTTGCAGTCGTTTGTTCAGGTGGAACATCAGTGGCGGCTGTGTTGGAGGCCTGTTCTTCCTGCGTGGGCTGCGGAGGTCCAAGAGGGCCCAAAATGGGCATCCCCTCGAGTTCGCCCAGGGCTGCTGCGGGCCTGTAAGTCGAAATAGTAGAGCGGCGACGAATGGCTTCTTCATTCGATGTTCCAATGAGAGTCAACCGCGCGAGCTCTTGACTTGGTGTGACGTAAGGAAACGGAGACGTGATCATTTCCGAAAACAAGGTCCGCAACTCTTTCACGACTGTGTCATCTGAGGTAAGCCTTTGGTTTAAATCAACAGAACGAGAAGCACTTACATTGCTGAGAGCGCTCGACCTCCTTCCGTGAAACTTTGCGAGATCCTACCTTCTT